ACGCATAGGACGCTACGACTATCGAGAGTGGCACACTAGTACAAGGGGCTTTGCATTGTCCCGCACGAAGCTGCCTCACCGAGTGGCATGTAAGAAGTCCATCGGTAGAGTGACGTCATGCCGAACGCGGAGATAAAGAGAAACATATGGACACTTCGGACCGGTGTCCGTCGTTGAAGGCATGCCGCGAGGTTCAATACCTAATCGGGAAAGACCGGCTACGTCGGTGTGGCATGGAGCGGTGCACGCGCTTGGCCGAACGGCGTCGAGTGGCCCTATTGTCCGCCGAATGCGGGAGATGTTCCGAGATCTACGCGCGAGGCATCGGGACGACCGTGCCGAGCTTCGAGCAAGTGTCGCGCACCGTCGAAGATGTCGAAGAGCGTCGAAGGCGAAATCGAAGTGTTGGGTGAGTGAGTCGAAGTGCCGGGCGGGATGCGACTGCCGAAAAGAGGTGTATCGGGGCCCAGAGGGGCTTGGCGCCTATCAACGTATGCCCTGCTGCAACAAACAGCTGAGGAGCGCCGGGAAGCGTGATACCTTGCTCCCAGGCTTCGATCAGATCGGCCTCATCCCACTCTACTTCCACCGGATCTTCTTCGGGTTCGAAGTCCGGGAGTACCTTACTCCGGCAGGCGCCTATGACCGACCGTTTGGACTTTGGCGAACGCCTGCGCGCCATGGGCCTGACCCCCGTATCACGCGCAGTCACTGCTTGCTCCATCCGGCCAGTCCTCCTGGCACTGCACGTTTCAGGGCATCGTGACAACTTGAGGGAGCCTTTCTCCCAATCGATTTCGGGGTTGTGCTCTCGCAGCCAATCCAACCCGACAATTACATCCTCCGGACCGATGTCCATAACTGTAAAGACCGTTTTCTCCTTGTGGTCTCCGATCTGCATCTCGAGGACGGCTACCTCTGAGATGCTGCCATCTTTGTTTAGGGTGCCATCGATATTGTATAGCGGAATCGGCTCCTTTAGCCTCCGCGTCTGCACCTTGTTTTCCGTAATGAATCGCTTGTTAATGAACTTCGTGGTGGCTCCGCTGTCCACCATAGCAATTATGTCTTTGTGCCGTCTTTTTCCTTGTAGTCATACTGGGATGTGAAAATGCTGGGACCCATGGTCCACCTCGTACACATTTGCAGAAGATAATACATTGTAGCGATTACATGATATACCCGGCCCGACGCGTGCGGCACGAAGCGCGGACTGGATCAAAAAGACTCCTCTTTGAGCGCTCGATAGTGCTCCAACTCCTCGCGCATCAACTTCATCTGTGCTATCAAGTCCGCCAGCTCGGAACTTTCCAATTTCGCTGAAGCGGCGCTTGTACTCGCCGAGGATGAAGCGATGGGGGCACTTGTTGCCGCCTGGGTGGATCCCGAGGCAACCGTAGCCCGCGCGTCGGCGCGTTTTGTGTAAGGCTTGTCCTTACAGTTGGGGCACTCGAAACGTCGGTACCCTTGCTTCCCGCAGCCGAAGCAACTACCAGGGAAGTCACCTTTTCCGACGGCCGCACTGATGCTGGCCGAAGCTCCTTGTGGTCAAGGTGCACCACCATGTGCCCCACCGCGTCCTCGGCCTCGAGCCGAGAAGAAGTTGTTCAGCTCGGGCCGACGGGCCTGGCTGACGTCGAGGATTTGCTCGACCTCAGTGGCGCGCTTGTCAGCGGCTTGCCACGTGGCGAAGGTCTCAAGCTCGATCTTGCGATAGACGTGGGAGGGGATGCCGCTCAGGTACTTGTCGCGTAGTTCCAGGTCCCCATACCCGGAACGGTCCGCCGGACCCTTGAACAGCGCAGAGAATTCTGCGGCGGTGCGCTTTTCGCGCATGGTTTTGTCAGCACAGAGCTTGGTGAGCTCCACCTGTGCCGTGGCGGCGTCGTCAAGATTTCCGAAGCGGGCCTTGAATGCCATCAGAAAGGCTGTTTCATTGGCGAAGGGCGTTGTTGCTCCCTGAGTCCCAACCTGGACAGCGGCAAGTTGGGCGAAGATGGGAGTGGCCCAGGCGCGTGTGTCACCATTGAGGAGGCTAAGGGCAACTTGGACCTTCAGCTCGATGGTGGAGAGTGTCACGAGTTGGTACGGCGCCTAGCCATTTTTTAATTTTTTCCTTTTCGCGGGCTCGAACCCACGACCTCTGTACTACATGCCCGATATGGACGCATCGTTATCTACTGTACGATTAGATTAGATGGGGCAGCAGTGCACGGCACAGCTCGGGCTCCGCTGACACAGCCTCTCTGACTCACCGGCCCCCGGGGCCGCGTCAGCATGCTGCGCACGGACCAGCTGTGCACGGACCAGTGCGCACAGCCTCCCCTAAACCTCCCCTGTATATAAGCCAGCCTCTGCTGCCCTAGGGACCTCAGTTTCGACCTCTTGTCCCTAGGTCAGTAAGCCCTCCCTTGTATCCTTTCTTACTTCACTAACTAATATATTAACTTGTCCCTAGCCTTAGGTTTGAGCCTAGCTCACCATCGCTTCGGTAAGATCAGTTGAACGCCCCCAGCATTTGGTTTTCCCCTGTCGCTCGACCCTAAGTCGCGACAGAGAGGGTCGTGTTAACCGCCCAGTAGATGAGCAACTGGGAGACGAAGCGGTTGCACTTGACAACTGTTTTTCCATCGTATCGAAGGGGGAGGAGGAGCTTCAACGTTTCCTTGTCAGGGGCGGCGGCAGGAGAAGACATTATCGGCGACGCAGGGGACGAAGGACTGCCTGCGGACGAAGGCAACTGTTGTGACTGTCCGCCGGGCAAACTTCGCGAGGAATGAGTGCTCGGGCGGCCTCACGGCAGAGACGGCGGTGCAGGCGCTGGAGGAAGCCCGGAGGAGGGGTCACGTACGTCAGGGACTGCTGACGTGGAGGCGAGCGCTGTCGGTGAGGTGGGCCGAGCAGGATCCGCGGACTCGGACTCCGAGACTCCTTCTTCACTCGCACTCTCCTCAGGCTCAGGCTCTGGTGCAGGGTCTGGAGGGAGATCTCCTTGCGCTTGACTTGGACCGGCGACAGTTTGAGGAAGGCGGGAGCTGGGGGAGACAGGGCGAGAGTGCCGCAAGGCGGATCGAGATGCGAGGGTGCTACGGGGACCGGACGGATGTTGGGCCCGTCTGATTGCCTTGTAGCGCGGGTAATCCTGCTCAATCAATCGGGGTGTCCGATTTGGGCACGGCTGCTGCTCGCAGGTGAGGATGAGGGTGTCAGGACCGTCTGGGATGTAGACATCGACGAGGTCCTGAGAGTCGAATGCGTGAACTTGGCCTTGGCAGGCAGCCACAATGGATGGGGGGAGGACAGGGAGGTGCGCGTACTACAAAGGCCGTGCTATACTAGCTTACACCTACGGCGCCCGAAGTAACGCTAGGGTTCACGATTCACGTGGGGCCCAGTACTGCTTTTGGCTAGTATGCAGCAGGAACCTAGTCCACGTGTCCGTAAGGACAAACACCGCCCACTGAAGTGCAGGTGTTGAAAGGTTCGTTCCCTAAGCGGTGGCGATGTATAGTACGCTATCTATGTATCGTAGGGTAAAGTAAGGGTGCGCACCACCCGACCTATAGGAAGTGAATGTGAGTTGTGGGAGTCCCGAGGGACGCCGGCAGCTATGGGGAGTTTCGACCTATTGTCACGACTTGAGGTCAAGCGACAGGGGAAGACCTAAGAGCTGGGGGCGTCCGACTAAATCTCACCGAAGCTATGGTGAGCAGCGCTCAAACCTAAGGCTAGGGACAAGATAATATATTAGTGAGGTAAGAAAAGGAATACAAAGGATGCTTACTGACCTAGGGACAAGAGGTCGAAACTGAGGTCCCTAGGGCAGCAGAGGCAGGCTTATATACAGGGGAAGTTTAGGGGAGGCTGTGCGCACTGGTCCGTGTACAGCTGGTCTGGGTGCAGCATGCTGACGCGGCCCCGGGGGCCGGTGAGTCAGAGCGGCTGTGTCAGCAGAGCCCGAGCTGTGCCGTGCACTGCCGCCCCATCTAATCTAATCGTACAGTAGATAACGACGCGTCCATATCAGGTATGTAGTACAGAGGTTGTGGGTTCGAGCCCGCGAAAAGGAAAAAATTAAAAAACGGCTAGACGCCATACCAACTCGTGACAATCACTGACCTTCGGTTTCCAGCGAGGAATCGTAATCGGGCGATGTCAGGCAGTCTGTGACCTGCTGCGCGAGGTGCGGCGGAATGAGATGTAGCACACATGCTCCATCGATGTTGTCGATCCTCCACATCCACACCGAACTGCTTGAAATCTGCGTATAGGCAATTGACAGGTGCACCTGACTTCAACCACAATGTAGCGAAGAGCAGAGATCTGTTAAGCGACAAGAAATGCAATTTTCCTCACCTCACCTTCGCTTTCGTCGAGGTCTATGGGCGTCATGGGTGCTCCCATTATGCACCTCCTGCGGCTCGACATGTGGGCATCTATGCAGACTGCGAGATACGACAAAGACATAATGGGCGAAAGGGTGGACGGAACAGTGGTCTGTACGGTGTATATAATCAGTAGCGTGAACCATGCATAAGGTCTTGCCTACCATCCATCGTAGAAATTGAGCGCCTAGGTCTTTTGTCTCTCTATAGAGACAGAGGTCAATCTCGAGACACCGCAAGTTCGTCGCCTCCATCCTCAAGCACCTCCAGAATGTATCACAGAGCGATTTCAAGGCTATGATGCTGAAAGTGAGCAGGACGGGTTTACTACACCGCACCATTTGTAGCAAGCTGGGGATCCTGGTATCATCAGAGGGAGTGAAACTGGTTATAGGAAGGTAGCCAGATGCAAGTATTCTTTGTATAACAAGTTGATAGACTGTCCGGGAGGTTGGCCAGTTGATAAACACTGCACGTGCCCCTCGACGTAGGCAAGGCCAGATGTGGCTGGCTGTCTGGGGCCTGTAGAGCGCGGAATGCCATTCCACTCCGTGAATCTTAGAGCCTGTGCATTGGGGAACGCACGAAGGACTGCAGGAATGTCCATCTGGCAAGCCGACAGAGTGAGATCGATGACATTCGGCAAAGAATGACGCAGATTACGCATAAGGAGCGCAGGGCGATTTGCGTTCTGATCTTTTAGCCCGACGATTTCCATTGTGCGCAGGTCGCGCAAACGTGCAATGCTGGACATTGATGCCCCGGTTTCCAAGGGGAGTGGCCGGACAGGGTCGATGTTCAGGACCAGGTGGCGTGGGCGACTCCGCATGCCATTGAGGAGCTTAGGTGTCTCAGACCCGCCACAACGTACCACCTGTATCTCAACGATGTTTATGAGGGAGGACAGCACATCGAGAAGCAGAGGTTGGAAAGAGAGAAGCTTCTCTATGACAGCAAAGTAGAGATATCTGAGCGTAGTTGTGTGTTGGTATAGGGAGACAAAAAGGCGCATAGCTGCAGCAGCTTTATCCACCATTTGTGGGTAATTTGCATCAGGGTTTGATCCTTTGTATGGCAGCGCAGCATACATGCACAGCCCGCGAACCCATTTGAGTCGCCCGGAAATGTCGGCGAGCATATAGGTGCAGATGCGCGAGACGGACTGCATGGAACTCATGATTACGTAGGAGAGGGCTTGACGTTGGGCAACGAGATGGACTCGCCGTGCAACGAGAGACAACTTGAGAGCATCCTCGGGCGTAATGTGGGATACAATCATCGTATGGACATCATCGTTGAAATCAAGGAGCGTGCTCTTGAACTGGGGTTGTTCCAAGGTCTATGTGACGGAGTAAGTAGTCCACAAGTCTGCATGTTATTGGGTACTTGCCTTCGTCGACTTTGGCGCCCCTGCACTTGCCATGATGGGACGTTCTACGCATTCATGGAGGATAAGAGTAGTACTTATGTATCCGGCTGCTACCGAGCCTTGATGGACGCCCATCTTCGCAACTGCCATTGACAATCGGGCCCGCCGGCCGATGCTTTCCATCTTGAGCAAAACAATGAGTGGGATAACTTTTTTATTCATTTTAATTTTTTAATCCAGTTTTATATCCGCTGGAGGTGGGATAACGTTGACCAGTGCAATATGTCAGGAATCGGATACGGGAGGCATCTTATCGGTTACCAGTCAAATGGCGCGGCCAGTACATCTGCAATGTAACTTGCACGCTAATGATGTGCTGAAGGAATCATGATTTTGTTGGAACTTGAGATTGTGGCGAGCGCATGCCACCGTATTTGGCATTGTTTGTAGTACCTTGCAGACTTTGCGCGAGCCGTCCTGTATGTTCCTTACGCGTTTGACAGAGCTCAGACAAACGCGATATATCTTTGTTGATCGTTCTCGCTTCGGGTCTCGGACGAACTTTAACGGATTTAGTATAGTTAACATCGAATGGGTCCCCGAATTGCCCTATAGCTTATATAGTATGCAACGGTGTTTATATTGTGACCAGCGAGTTGAGCCGTCGAGGCATACTGACCTTAATCATACAACCAGGTATCGGGATCGGAGATTTCAGCTGCATCATTCTACGGGAACGAGCCACAGCATACCCACATTCAGACATATTTCTGGCTACGACTGGTGAATAACATCGACGAAGGTCGAGGATACTCTGTCCTGAACGCGATGAGCGGTTTATTGCGGTCATGATGTGATATCCACTTACCGGCAGGTAGCTCTGCTTGACCTCCAGCGGACCGTCATCAATTTCAATTTGATAGTCAGATCAGGAATCCAGCTGTCATATACAGCGATGGACATCATCTGGTTGGCGCAGCACACAATCTAGACAATGCGGGGCATCAGGATTGACTGCATCACAGCCGCTGCTCACATCGGATCGGGTGGACATCTCCACGATGGCCGGGGGAAACATAGCACATAAGGGAGCCATCTGATCAAATCGCAGAGAGTTAGGCATGTCTCTCGCCATGGTCTACACTCGTTTGCTTGCGCTCGACGCCGGTCAATTCAGGACACAGATAGCTGCAAGCCACCAGACTATATGGAATAAATTGTAGATCAAAGACAACGGCACTGACACTGACACCGAGATAGGATAACATTGGCAAGAAATTATTATCAGTACGTACAGTTTTCCCCGAGGTGTCCTATCGTTCGTGTCGCCGAACAACGTATTTGCAGCTATCAAGACGCGTCTGGTAGATGCGGTGACATCTCCAATGCTCGTCAAGCTTCTCGCGGCAGGTATGTTAGACACGAAGGCGCTCGCGACTCGTTCGTTCAAGAACGCCGAGAAAGCATATGCAGCGTTTGGGAATGCGGATGCGGCGACGAGCCAGCGCTCATTCAACGCCCGCGACTCCGAAGACCTTATCGCAAGCCAAGGGCAAGCACCTCTTAAATAGGCTGCTTACTTCTGTCTGATTTGGCTATATACTCGTGAGAAACCTCCAGGAAGTCTGGACTTGTCTCACTCAACTCGGACGTCAAAATGATCATATCGCGAACACTTGGACACGCCCACAGTGTCTAGTGATCTGGGAGGGCGTGTACCGACTGTAGACATTCCACGAGTATGAGATAATGGCAATTGCACCGACAGCTTCTACCTTCACAACCGTGCAAGAATGCGAGCGTCGACTTGGCGGTGCTCATCAGTAACGCTTTGCTGTGCCATCATACTGCGGTATCTTTCTCTACTAACAGCTGCCAGAAAGGTGGCACGAGGGCATTGTGGGGCGACAATCAGTACTCGGAGACGACCGAAAATGGTGCCTACCGCACCGATAAATACCTTCTGCGCTCAGACACTACGAGAGGTCAGGCACACAGGCAGTCTCCGCGATGCAAAACGGGATCTCCTCCCAATTGACGCAGGCCAGTGCAGTATGTCCCCAGCCCATCCCGTGTAACTTCCCTTCTGACGCAGATTGTATCACAGTACGGGGCGACGTTCCTGGATCTGTACGACGATGTCCTTGCGATGATCGCTCCTGATCTCACCACCAAAGAGTCCCTTCAGCTAGTTGCGAAACGTCAGGAACTGTCCTCGGTGACAATAGAGTCGGTGCAGGCGGTCATTCGTATCTGCAAGTACATGCTCGAGGATGTGGTCGGCCGCTTGCAGTGGATCCCGCGGTTGTCGGTGTCCGTCTGGATCCCAGACAAAGGAAGTGGCCGTTATGAATGGTTGGTGAAACGGAACGGGCAGAGTGAAGCACCGATGGCCATGGGTCTCCTCGTGTCGCTCTTGGAGCAAGCACATGGGCTGCAGTATCTCCATGTCGGGGATGTCGACAACAACCTCGAGTTCGACCACGCACTCCTTGATGCTATATGTGCACTCCCAAACCTGGTTGAGCTGGAGCTGCTGCGCGGGGATCAATTCGAGACCATGAAGCTGCTTGACGGACTGCAAAACCGACTGCGCATCCTCAGGCTGGGTGTGCAAGTATTTAACGCGGACAAGGATGCAATGATCTCCGGGATCGGGAGGTTCCAGGAGCTTCGTGTGCTAGGACTCGGTGGAATGTACACGCAACGGTCTCGCTTCTACAAAAACACGACGCGCTTCATGCACGACCTGCACCATACATGGCCTGATGTCAACCACCTTACCATTGCACATTGCGATCTCGAGCTTCCTGCGGTCCTCCATGCCTTCCCAAATTTGCGCGCCTTGACATTCACGGAATGGGACATTATCTCGCGCTCAATGTTGCACGACAGGTCGGCGTATTCTGTCAAACTGCAGGGGCCCAACTGTCTCGAATACGTCGAGGGTAGTGGACACCTGTTTGAGGACTGGCCCGCTGAGCGCCCTGTATATCACATTCTCATCCAATCCGTACTCGCAATTCCAAGTCAAACGGCAATGGGCGGGGAGACGCGCTGTGGCGACCCTGAAATCCCGATCCTGCTGGAGATGGCGCGCAATGCTGAACCGGTCATACTCACTTTCCGCATCATGGCATTCGAATCGCTGCATGAGTCCTTCTGGAAGAGGCTGGCAGCCGAGGCGACGAGACTGCGATGCCTCGAGGTCGGTTTGTTTGAATTCAGAGAAACAAAGGGCCTCACATCATTATTCCAGGGCTGGATGGTAAGCAGAATACTCTGTGACAGTGTGCATACACTGTTGAATATGCGCATTCCACAGACCAACGTCCCGTCAAGTCTTTCGCCTATCACGTCGCTCTTGTACCTCGAAATTGCCATCGATGTCAGCACGTCATGGTTCATCTCATGCGTAAGGAATGAGACGCCGGAGCCTATTAACCTTGATTATAGTGAGGCGTACGCGGAACGGCTGGCATCGCTTGTCATTATGCAGATCCCCTCTCTTCGTTACCTCTCTCTTGGGTTTGGCTCCATGGCGTCACATTTACCCACCCCTCACATACAGCCATTTGCTGGCAGGATGTGGATGTGGAAGGCGGAGGGTACTGGTGGAGAGCGTGCACTCTGTCCTGTCCCGTCAACTATTGCTCGGCGACTCAAGGTGCTGCTGAAATCCCCCGATTATGACCCTCTGCAAGAGAGTGATGATGCGTCGTCCGTGACTCCATGTCTATATCTTCGTCTCAATTGTGTTAATATGTCGTGCAGTACTGGATTCTGGTGAGTAAATATGACAGAAGAGTACTGGGGAAGCCGCTTTTCACCTCACCAACTTGATGATGTTCGAAAATCTCCAATGATTATCGTTCATTGTGTGCTGCTACATTCAGATGGATAGCGAACCTGAATACAAGCCAAACAGTCGACACAGGTGAACTGAGGTGCGATTCCTCGTTGACAATGTTGTTGAAATGCTTGCATACCTGCAGCAGTCGCAATCCTCATGAGCGTGATAGTTTCATGTAGGAGTGCTGACCGACTGAAGCCTCACCAACTGGCATTGCAACAGGGTATACACGTCAGCTTGTCTTAGTATCTGTATGAGTAGCTCGGGTGGCAGATCCGAACTTCTTTCCTGTTCTTCGATGTGAGCATTGTTGGCGGCCAGAGGATGAGGCCCGTGCGTGATGTTGTGCTGGGACATCCTCCTCGGATCGAGAATTGGCGGCTATACGGGCAATTGATCTAAACAGTCAGACAACCGCTGCGCAGGGTGAGCGTCTATCTCTCATCACGGTACTGATTTATGCTGAAGAGACGCGAAGACTTCAGACGGCGGGAGGACAGTCAAAATCCATGACCAGTCGTGGTCGCTCGATGCGTTGCCACAAATTGGCTTCTGGCCGTCAAGCGGCAGGTAACGGCTTCAACATAGCGACGACGACAGATGTCGGGCAAAACATTAACATTTCGAACCAGAAGAAATACATGCCTATATACAACATCACAACTTTGTACAAATCGTCCATGATAGCCACGACTAACCGTCAGCCGATAGCTCCAGAAAATGTCTCAGCGTCTGCTTCCAATCGAGCCATCGATCTGCGGAGCAAACAGCGTAAACACTTTCTCCCCTGTGGTTCTCTCCTCCAAGGCGTCAGCAAAACCATAATGTAAAAGGGCTAAAGCGGTACCTTCACTGCGAGAAGTTCGTCGCCCAAAATGTATGTACCGAACTGCACGTCCGGACCCTTCAACTCCGAAACACGGAAGGGCATACTGGTATTCGGGTTCACGTCTAAGCCCCATGCGTACACGTCGGTTCCGTTCACAACTTGACTGCGTTCTGTATCGCTGATAGCCCTCCCGTTTCCTTGGGGCGTGAAGTCGTACAACGCGGTAGGCGTCATGACGCGATATCCATACATGGTGGACTTGCTGAAGATATTCTTGGAATGGTTGAACCAAAAGGTAGACTTCAAACCCCATTCGTCCCAAGGGATATATTTCGTTCTATAAGCTTTGTTCTCCGTCGGGGAAAGGCTTATGTAGTCATCGATAACCTTCAAGAAAGGCCTTGCATATGCCATGATTACGAAGCCGCTCCATAGGCCAAGGGTGATTTGTAACATTGCTGGATCGGAGGAGAGCGAGAACGGGGGTGGAGAGGACGGTGGAAACGATTCACCGTGACCTCGTTCATATGATGCAGATACTTGACATCTGACGCTACAGTCTGTGTATTTGGGTCGAGGAGACGTCATGTAATACTCTTGGTCTGTTCTCCAATCGAGAAACTTGATATTTTCCTGGGGCAAATATGTTGATGGCAGCCAAAAACGTGCAAGGCGGGTAATCTGAAGTGTCTGAGTCGGGCTGCGATGGAGTAGCAGCACCGTAATCCACGCATCACCGCCGTCGAAACCCGCTCGGACCAAGCAATTTTCTGATATGAGGACTCCGTCACCGCAGTTCACTACCGTACTCTGCATATAGGATATCAGTGAGTAGATCTCAGAACAAATATTGAGGACACTGACGTCGGGGTCCTGGTGCGTCCAGTCGAAAACAACAGTTCCTGGCGGGTGCTGAACACTTATGACGGATCCACGGATCCTGATCGAATCTTTGGTCCATTCAGTAACACTGCTAAGTGAGATGGCCTGGTGAAAAGAGCGACCGTGGGGGGTGCCACTCGACAAAGACATTATCTCGAGGCTGCAAAATGTTATGAGCATGCTAAGCGTGCGCGATCCCATTGAATCCACTCACCAGAGTGTTGGGAGAGCCGCATGCAGATCAGACCACACGACGAGGAGATCTTGTGCGGCATCTATCGCGAATTCCGAGTGGGGAGCACTGAGAGTATGTCGGCGATAAGGCGCGTCAGACTCCAAGAAATAGATATCCAGTGTGTCGAATGCAGTATGAGTGTCAAAGTCCTCAAGATCAGCATGGAGAAGGTAAGCGACGACTAGAACGCCACTCTGAAACTTCCACTGCTGGATGTCTCGACTGTCAGCAAGCGTTATAGGCCGAACTTCGAAATTCAGCTCCTGCCAGGCGTTCTGCTGCTGCTTGAGTCGTCGCAAACGCTCCGGCACGGAAAGGCAACATTGTTGGGGACCATCTATGTGGCCAGTTCTTGCCAATTCGAGTGTGTACTGTATATGCGAATCCTCATCAACGGCGTCACGAAACTGCTTGCATACCTGTGATGTCAAGATTCATGATGATTGTCTCGCACTTGTACTTTGGCATTTAGAAAGAGACCCACCAGTTTGCAGCGAAGAAGATCCGCCACATCAAGCATTCTGAGTATACCATGCACCAGCAATTCGTACGGCAGAGCAACTGAGTCTTCGGTAGTCTGTCCATGCGTGGCCACAAAAGGAGACGCGCCGCGATTTCCATCTTCTGCCATCTTGCCAGGTACGAGATCAATACAGAAACGAGAGATGTAGACGCTTGGTAGGCGCTGTTCAAGGTCGTGGCCATCGCGTGGGACCCAAGGTTGAATCGGAGACTGAACCTCTACATTTATATTTCATTGTTCTTTTTCCGGTATAAGGTGTCGGCGGGGCACCCCGAGACGAGGAAGATAGATCTCCACTTTCAGAGGGATGATATCTTGCATGATGCGAAGCTGTCGTCGCGGCACTCAAAGAGGCACCCAGAAAACAGGCACGCACCATACACATCACCTCAAATGAAACAGATTTCCAGCCGTAGTCAAGACCATCCCCCCAAGCGAATACTAAAGTTGCAGCCAACACCAAAGCCGACGCGGCGTGCGATACGCATTGTGACCGAACGCGCTACCGCCGAGGAGCCAGGTGCGCCATTACGGATCACAGACCACAGCGGCCTGCACGCTCGTGAAGCCATAGCCGAGCTATCCCTGGAGCGCAGGACGAAACAGCCTGAAACCGGCTCACGCCCAGAGAACGGGGTATCCGGGAAGACAATAGTAGACGTGGACCAGCCATACATTCAGAAGCGTCAAGAAAACAGTAGTCGCAACTGAAAACGTCGCGGATATCGTGAAGCTTGCGAAGAGGACCGTGCTAGGGCACACTAAGAGAACGCAGAAAGCAGAGACGGCGTCTCCTGCTCTCAAAGGCCCCGCTTCGAAGATCGCAGTGCGAGGGAAGAGGAAAAGTCAAACGCCGGGGATACCGTAACTAGAAAGCGTAAATGGGAAGAGTAAGGTACACTGAGGCTCCGGTGTTGTGCTAACAGAATCACGCCTGGTGAGACGATACTCCAAAACGACGCGATATCCACGGAGCCATGTGCATTGGACAGTCTGTATCCTTGCTATGAAGAAACGCAAAGCTATTACACTGCAGGCGTGCCACTTCTTGAAGTAGCTTGTGTGAACCTAGTCTCACCAAGTATACTATGCGCTACAGTGCGATGTGTAGAATCAGCGTTCATCACAATGTATTCCTAGAACGACTTTTGGACAACATGCTTGTCTGAGTGTCCACGTGGCAACAGACGCCGATAGCGGGCGGCCTGAAAGAGACAGCTTGCTCTTATCTACACCTCATCGCTCTCGACTGTCTCCCACGGTACAGCTCAAATTCAACATTAGCATAGCCTAGAAATCATGGAGATTCAGTGCAGGATGGATTCATCGAGACAGCTTCCAAGGAAGCATGATCCCGCTGCGTGAGACGAGCATTCCACCGTTGATGCGCTATCTGAGTTGTCCAACAGGATGCACATCTCAACTCGAGATCCTCGATGCACGGAAAGATAGAGAATATTGCACAATCAGCGCAGTGGAGGGTCTACACGGCTCTGCTTCTACCTACTGGTTAAGCGGTGCGTCACCGAATTGACTCGGTTCCTTCGCGACATTTGTCCTGGCATGAATCGAAGATCAGAGGATCGTGCTGGAGGCAAATTCACTTGCCATCGGGTAGTACAGTCACCAATCCCAGAAGATGTCCATCCGTGGGCACCTGCGTCTGCCAATTTGGAGCATTCGCTTGTGATTACCTACTGCATATTCCGTGCAGACAACACCCCATCTCCGCGAATGTGTGATTCTCGAGGTGTTCACCGTCATATGGCCTCTCTTCACTATTTGTGGTTGACCCCGCCCCTTCGCGAGGACGTGATACGCGTGTGTCCTGTGTGAGCGTATCTAGTCTACCTGTGACGGGGGCCGTCAGTAGCCTCCTCCAAGGCGCTGCTGTCTGTCGGTAGTATGGGCCCGGACGGGCGGTCTATGTCTATTGTGCCCTGACGCATACCGTATACAATACAGATAATGCTCTCGCCTTGTGCGTTCTGCAACCAACTCTGTCGTGGAATCTGTTGGCTTGATAGTCGGGTTGATCCGTGTGGTCTAACCTTCGCCCTGCATGATCATCGCTTGCTTGACTGGGACGATCTGACTCAACCCAGGAAGGAACGGATGGATCTGGAACCGTCGGGGATCACGAAGGACCCTTGAAGTCTCACGAAGGGTGTACTATGTGTTGTAGATCTGTCGGCGGATCTGACGCATTCGAAGGGCGAGCTTTGTGTGGTCCATGCGTGTTCGTCCCATGCGGTCGTTGCGTGCTCGGATTGCGATCTCCACCCACGCACGATGCCCTTGGCCGCGCGTGAATGATCGAATAGGGCGGCTCGCTGATGTTATCACTTTTCAGGCAAGGGAAACTGCGAACAATGCTTGTTGCGTGGCGTGTAGAGCGCGGCATGGGGACTAATGCAGTACAAAAAAATAGTCCAAGACGAGGAACGAAATCCGGCAACGAGGCAAGCAAGGATGAAGACGGGGATGGAGACCATTACATTCAGCGAACTTAACCTCGCGGTGTGTCCGCGCACTCGCTCTGTCAGGGACTCGCAACCGACGCGTGATCGCAATGTTCCTCAGTCAGCCTTCACTATCTTCGCCATCCTCACCGCCGTTTCCCATTCAAGAATTTCGTGCAGCCCTTTTTACTGCCCACGTGACGAGCGAGGGCGTCGCGGCGATGGAAGCCCCTGTGGCACCTCCCGCAGAAATACTTCTTGGGGATTGCCTCGCCGTTTGTGGTGCAACTCTTGGTTCCCAATTGGTGGCGTAGAAGATCCAACGGCCGAGTGAATGAGCGATTGCAGCCCGGCCGTGCGCAGGGGAACTTCGCCGGTTGGCGCTGCTTGGGAGCACGCTTGGTCTTTTTCGACGCACATTTCGTTGTTTTCGACGCGCACTTAATCTTCTTGGGAGGACGTTCAACGTACTCGTCGTCCCCGAGGGACTTTCGCTTCGCTCCGCGAGTAGGCTGCGTCTCCTGTGACACTAGTCGATAATCCTGGCACTGGGCTGCAGTGCGTGTAATGAGTATTCAACAGCCCCCTGCGTTCGTTGACATGCTCACATTCGGTGGTTTCGGACAGGGATATCGAACCATGCTTGTGCTCGAGACTGCGGTGATCACAGTTGCGACGTGCCGAGCCTTCTCCCTCGTCTTTAGTGTTTGTCTTGTTCTGACATATAATGTATATGTCAGGCTAGACGACGCGGAAGACGGGATGTGTACTCACGCATGTCGCTGAGGCTGTGCCTTGCAACCCAGCCACGGGAGTGTGCTGTTGGGCGTCGCTGGCGTCCATGATAGCGCCCATAACCATGGCGGGGCTGTCGTACCCCGATGCCGGTGAATCGGGCGAGTGCTGATGCGGTGTCAGAGGCGGTGAGGTAGAAGATATCTGCATCAACAAAGCGAGAGTACGAGAGGATTGGAACAAATGACACACCGATTCGCCGCCCCCGTATACAACAGACGGGTCGAGGAGCGTGTCCATAGGAGACACGGTGTTCATGGCCCCTGTTTCCGCGCAGATGCGCTGAGGCGAAGGAGATATGAACGTTGTCGCTATTCAGGTGAGATGGAAGCTTACAATTATGCCTGGCTTCCAGCACGATTTGTCGACGGAGATACCTACCGGCTGTTCGTCGCCGCTGGCTGCCGTCAGGCTTGCCAATGATATGTCGAACTTGTCGAGAAACGCGTCGGTGGAACACATTGTTGATTCAACAGGATCAAGCGCACGACACGAAGTGGGGGTGGGGGGGGGTGGGGGTAGGCAGTACAAGTCCTCGAACTAGCGGAGGACAAGCGGCGGCTGTTTGTCTATGAGTGCTCAGCGAGCATTCGGAGCGCGCCTGAGGGTATCCTAGTATTCTATCCCATTATGGCGATGTGGGACCGGCGGACAATGCCACCGGTGAGCTTCTAGCTGAGATTTTCCACTCCGATGCTGAAATAGTCCACCGTGGAATTCCACGAAATAGGTAAGTAAGGGCGGCCTTGAAGTGACCTGGAACCGGTATATGGGAGCCCGTATGTCTAGCATCTCACCGGCATTGTCTTGCCCGCGCCGAGGCCCGCAACTATTAGTATCTTAGCTACTCGTTGTTCGAGTGCCGCTGCAGCTGAAGGTGTTACTCCGGGGAAATTGTACCACATATTTACCATTTACCTTCACAACTGGTGAGTTCTTTCTTTGAGTAGCTGTTGCTTTCAATGCCGGAGAAAGGAAGATGGCGGAGTGTTACATTGCGTGTAGAATGCCATGTGAATTTCCTTCCGATGGAACGATTCTCCGCTATGCCTTCTTGTGTACCTATCTCAAAGATGCCATTGTAGCGCCTTCTAGATGTGTGCGCCGAAAATACTTTTGCGTTGCAACAGCCTCTTTTCTACAACAATACTGAGTAGCACGAAATCTCCAGATGTGAAAATGACGGGAGAGGAGGACCACTGACAGTTACCCACCAACGACTGGCTAACTTCTCGATTCGGAGTGCGCTGCTCTCCGCGATCCCATATCATCGGAAGCTGGACAATGGGACCCACGGAACGCGGCCCTATAAGGCTTCCCTTTCATCCCAGCTTGTCCTGTTGTTCTCGTCGCTGCGCAGTAAGCTGGGCATCAGTAATTTGTTCTACCTCGCATGCGACTGATACCATGCTGAGAACACGTTTTGACAAAAGATGAACCTGTCTTCTTTCGGCGCGAGAAGCTCACGCGGCACCACTCAGTCTCCATCGTGGCACCAAGTGCTCTCAGACAGGCGTGTCATCTTAGCATGTGTCCGTTCAGAGCGCGCGCCTTCCAAATCTACTGTCTCCTACTTGTCATAGACTGAATGGTTTGCCGTACACCACTCCTACGGCATCCCGCTGTCTACGCATGTGCCGAAAAACTCGAAAGCATTCTTTAGTGGCCATTGGCAGCTGCCGGACAAGCCAAGTAAGCGATACTAACTAGACCGTGTAGAGGTAAGCGTATTATGTGCTACAGTCAACAATGAGAGGGCAAATTTAAGAATCAGGAGGGAGGGAGTAGGATATGACTTTTTGAACAACTCGTGTCGCCGCAACGGACGAGGTCAATCTGACTAGGAGACATGAAGTCAACAATTTGTCTCCAAAAGAATAGGTCCTGACCAGATGAAGTTTGTCTGACGCGCTGCTGTGCGAGAGGACTCGTGTCTAGGCATCTCAACACTACATCCTTGGCACCTCGCTGGCAGCCTAGTCTATATCCTACGCAGTCTCGAGCAAGCCAGCGATTGAGCCGCACGTTGAGACGATCGAGCGTTACACCCTACGAGTGTATAGTTGACGCCCTTCCACCGCTGAAGTTCTTGAAGCTTGCGTCTCAAAGTCGCAGTAGAGGGGTGTAGATGCCGTCAGAGAGCTGAAGAACACTTGTCTCTTGCAACCAAGCGGCATCAATTCGAACCTTCAAAAATACAATAGATGCCCCCTGCCGTCGTGGCCTCAAAACATCATATTATCTTTGTGTCGGGCACGAGGTGTCGGGTAAACTCACCGGGACAGCGAGGTGGTCGCATATAGCGCAAAGCTTCTACTCTATATCCACTAGTGGGTAACTGCTGTCAAGTCGACGGACCTGGAACATTTTAGTATCGTCTTGTCCACGTCGAGAAGAAGGATTCTCACAGAGAGGAAGCAGTCAGGCAGGTGACCAACGCCGAGGAGAGTGTCGCACCACAGCAGACTCCGAAAATCAGGAGCTGCGTTCATGCCCGTGGCCGTTAATGTAGACGGCGCTGTGATGCTACAACAATCACACCAGCGGAGTGGCCGATGATGCAGGAAGTTGTGAGGTGCTAAGCACTACGCATGGGTAGCTGGTATATCTGGTCAATATAATATATCAGGAATCAAGACCACCGGAAAGCTGCATTGAGGTGAGCTGTTGCTCCATACATATCAGGACATCCCGTCATGACGTGGAAGATGGAGAATAAATTCAGTTTCAGTCGCTCTCCATGGGAATTCATGAAGGCTCCATACCTTTAATCTACGAGATTAAATTTCAGGGGTTTATAAGCGGATAGTAGGTGCCAGAATGGTCAGGAGACGCAGAGCTTGGCAGAACACCGCCTCAGAACCATGCCACATTGCACAAATGGGGAGGAAGAGCGCACAAGTTGAGGTTGTTGGCTTGCAGCCATTGTTCATACCGGAGGAAGCCGAGAGCCCACGTGGTAAACGCGGCCCTCTTGTCTGAGCAACTCAGAAAATCTTCCTGTTCCAGTCATGCTGCTGCATGTCGCTGTGAACATGCTACGCTAATTTGAGCAAGGAAAATCATGTAGCACAGACGTGGAGCTTGAATTCTTCCTCCGCCACGAGATGCATAACACTGACTTCTGACTTCGTAGGTACCATACTCTCCCAACTGAATACTGCGACGCAACAGACCTGAGGATACCCATTCCCTCCCACTTGTGGACTACTAGAACGGCGGAGCTGGATTACGCTCGGTCTCAAACTGCTAGTGTAGCCTTGGCCTCGAGTACTTTCGTCCGAGTATGCCGGTAGACGCGCATGCAGTCTTCCTCACGGGTTGACCACGTACTCTACTATAGCGGCCACCGCATCCCGCCAACTTGATCAACGACAACCTCTTGATTACTAGATGGCTACCCTGTACTCGGCAAAAAGATATGTCACGACGCTGCAGGATCAACGTGAATAGCAGAACGTTCAATAGGAGATAGTCGAGCAGAAACCAACATGGAAACGGCGGATACCGTAGTCAGCACGGAAATATACCCGTACACACAGCGTGTATATCCAAGGAGTGAAAATTCGCGCAAAGTCTGAACGTTAGTACCGAGGGCAGTTTGAGCCAACTAGAGTAAGAGACTGCGTAAATGTGACTGATAGCATGTATCTGTCCTAAGATCCCTGCGAACAGTATTTTGGACGCCATTATTAGGTCACAGTAAGCATTGAAAAAGCCAAAAGTACAAAACGCTGTGCAACGTCGCGAGGTCTCACATTGGAGCTACGCACTATGTATGGATGACTGGCATGTCTGAAACGGTGGATGCAGTGGTCAGAATGGAGGTATTTCAGTGGGGAGATGCGAAGGTTGAGTGATCACTCAAAGTCAATGAATCATGCCTCCATCCTCGTCCCCCGATTCGGTCCCACTGTCCTCCTGGTCGTTCCCGCCCAGGCTACACCACTCCTGCTGTAGAGCCCCGCCGCTTGGACTCCCGCTCGAAACACCGTTCGTCGTATCCTCCTTGCCACTCTGAAGCGCTGCTCGCTTCTCCAGCCCCCGCAAGTACTTCGTACACGCCGCCGGCATCTCCATGCAATGCCGCCTCAACGCATCCTTGCGATTGAATCCTCTCCCGCAACTGTCGCAGAAGTGCTGCGCAGGCGCTTTCTTCTCACCTGGGCCAGCGCAGATGTCCATGTGACGTCTCAGGTCGAACGACCGGCTGAAGCTCTTCTCGCACATAGGCTGCGAACAGCAGTACTTCTTGACCGCCCGGGGCTTCTTCCGTCCTCGCCTGCTTCTCTTTGGTCCGTCGTCCGCGCACACACCGTTGGGACTGTCAGAGAGCCTCCCGCGTGCGTGCTGGGCCTGGGCCTTGCGCTTTCGAGCCGAGGGACGAGGCCTGGGAACGGATGTATCTCCGTCGTCGTCGTCAGCATCTGCGTACGTGACTTTGCCTCTCGAGCGTAGATATCGCACAGGCTTCCGTCTAGGTGACCGCGGAGGTGTTGATCTCTTGGTATTCGGAGTCTCCTGTGCCCGCCCATGTGATCGAGTGATTCGTGGGCTCGCAGACGGCGAGCGTTCAGTCCGAGACCCGTATGTGCCAATCGCCTTATCCGCGTCCGGCGCCTTGTCATCATTGTCACTACCCGTGGATCTATCCATGCCAGGGCTGTCGTGCCGCTCGCATCCTCTTGTCGGATCTATCACATGCACGTCCATCGGGGAGGCAGATCGTATACTAGTTGTGGGTGGGATGAACATGGGCGGTATCATCGTCTCGCTGCGGCAGCTTGCTCCATCATCGTGTGGCGAGAGAATAGGTGTGGAACACAATCTCGACATCCCTGCAAGCAGAGGGGAGTGCGGATCAGATGTTGCGGGCATGGGCATGGGTGAGGGCACCGGAACGGGAACGGGAACGGGCACGTGTATGGGCAAGGAACTTGCAGTGGACGGCGAGTCAGACATATGCGACTGATCGCGGCAGCGCTGAAGGCTGCAGGACGGCGAGTCCGAGAGCGGGAATGTCGGAGCCGTCAACGAGGTGGTCGTGGATTCAGCCGAAGCCTGAGTGTAGCGGTTCCATTCGCAGTCATCCCAATGCGGGAGCGTTGGGTCGACCAAAGTTCGTATCGTGGGAATCCGAAAAGATGCCCCCGCTACCTTAGTAGAGGAATGGTACGAAAATCAGCAAGCTCATACGTAAAGGCGAATGAGTCGACGCGCCTGCAATCCCTCGTCCAGCCAAGAGTTAGCAGCATCCGGCACGTTGAAGAGTCCTAGATATCCTCGCGTGCTGCGATAGTCCGTGCGCCGAAAGGGGCGCGCTGGAGGATAACGACCTCCTAGTATGCAGACTGCCTGTTCGATATTGCACGAGGGCGCTGCGCATGCCCGTGATGAGGGGTAGAGATGATGTCCCAGATCCCGAGAGTTGACGGTTGTGCTGTCCTTATCGGACCACATCAGGAGGACTTGCCGTTGGTGCTGTATTGATCGATCAATGTTTCAATCACACTGCGTGATCAGCAATACATACTACAAGTGTGGCGTCTTCAGACCTCGCCTCCTTCAGGTCGGAAAGGGCATCAAGATGAGAATTCAGGCGTATTTATCGATCAAAACTGCAATCAGCACGACACTGACGATGATTTGAGAGTGAAAATGGGAGTCTATAGGTGGCCTCGCTCACGGCACGTTCAGGATAGTTTGCACTGCGACGCTCGAGGCTGTGACGGCGAGACGGCGAACCGTGAGAACGAAACATGACCAAATGAGGAAGCGCACGTGGGTAGTGAATTGTAGATGTCGCTGTAGAGAGCTCAAGCGTCTTTCACCCCGAAAAATGTTTACTGAACTGCATAACATGCTGCATAGATTTGGGGAGCATTATAGCTAACCTGTGCTCATTGATTGACCAGATGATGCTGGGTTGATGCTGCTTCACACTCGTGAACCGTATAGTCACTGATCAGTACGTCTAATATTTTGCGCAGCTATAGTTGTTGCTTGTCGAGTTCGACATGGTACATGATCGCAACAAGGCTTAATTGTTGACTTTTGGGTATGTCGGGCAAGCGTCGCTGCCGGCCCAAGTCACGTGGTCATGCGCCGGTGTGGGAATAGGACTTATGTAGGCGTCGCGCGCCGTAGGTAGCCCCATCGGTTTGTAACCTTATCCACCTTTGATCCCTGTCCATCGAGGACGTTGTCTTCCGGCGCTCTTTCCGGCGTCGTTCTCACATTAATAACCTTCGACGCACTACAATTACCGCGAATTATTGTGCGGTATTACATAATCTCCATGAAGGTGAGATACAGGAGCAGACATAATGACTCGATCAGTCGACATAAAATCAGAACTCCTACATAGCTACACGGAGTCGCAAATGCTGACTTATAATACCTCGGAGACACTAGTGTTCTTCAGTGAAAGCAGACATCTAGATTTAGGATAATCTTGATGATGACATACTGACCTCCGGCCTTAGCGCGGGATTGTAATCGGGTGGTTAGGCAGCCCTTGACCTACTGCGCAAGCCTCGGTGGAATGATAGGCGGCGCCTGCACTTCATTAACATTGTCAATAGTCCGCGTGCGCTGTCTCGATGCAGAAGTTCATGCCTTCGACAGGACAAAGGGTGCGAATCGTCAGTGTTCCCTGTAGAAGGCACGCATCACTTGATGAGAGCATAATGCCACTGATCATGCGTTCCACAGAGACCGCTGTTCTACCCGCGCTCTCGCCCATTGTGTCTGCATCGTATAATAGTCTGCGAGAGGCCCGTTGCACCCATGAGCTTCGACGAATGCAAGGCAAACGCGGATCAATCTGCGTCTCTCGTCGTCAATTAGATCCTTTATATTCGTTACACTGCGATTGACTTTGGGTGTACTGTCATTGCAGCCCGGGGCGTGCAGCCTTGTCACCCCTTCCAAACGAGACAAGCAGTGAATCAAACAGTCCTGCGCAGCGAGAGCCGTCGTCCACCGTCACGAACTTTATCGTTGGGCACACTGGGGAAGGCATGCAGGACGGCAGACACCTCATCCCTGCAGTCCGATAGACACAGATCGATGACCTTCGACCATGCCATCAAACAGCTCAAGCGCGCTCTATGCTAGACCATGTCCGCTTCGGGATTAGCCACATACACACAGTGATAGCGCTGTTAGCATTGGTTATTACACGGAGACGTACAATTTCGCAGCCTTGCACACTCATTTACATTATTGTGTCACCTTGAACCCGAAGATACGCTTCTTCTGCCCCAATGCCTCTCGACGCGACTTGGAGTTCGGATCAAAGTAGGGCTTCTCACCCAATGAAACAACACGATCGCCCTCTCGGTGGTCGTCGTAGTCGCGTGTGACTGGAACAGCTATATCAGAGTGGCGCTCCGTGATGCGTGTTGGTGTAACCACTCACTGTTGTGGAACGACGCAGAGTTGGCCCATATCGCAACGTCATTCCTGCGCATCGGACAGCAGTCCATAAGTCACCTATACAACCGAAGGCATCGCTGACACTCACTTGCTCCACTTGAAGCGTACTTGAAGATCGTGATTGTCGCTGACCAGTCTGAAGAGGTAGTCGAGCGTAGCGTCGGACTCGTCCTTCGTCAGCTCGAGAATCCGCCGGGTAAAGCTGTTCAAACGTTCAAGCCCCGATGTTCCGGACGTTGCTTACGCAGCAACTCACTTCTTGTTCACGAATAATGCCTTCCACCCCGTCACAGGATTCGTGCGGATCACAGGATGCACAGTGCGCAAGTCTGTACCGACGTTTTCAGGATTTCCACGCGGGCCCTCGTGGAGCGTTTTCCCCTGCCTACCTCACGTATCGGCTCATGTGGACAACACACATGTCTCAGACGCGCTTACCTCTCAACGTAGCTTTTGAAGAATGTCGCTTCGTGTACGGCCGTCAGGCCCTCGAGGTGCTTCGCCAACGCCGGGCTGAGTCGGTCGTACGCCTCGTATCCGCTCGCCCAGAGGGTATCGCCTCCGGTCTCCGGCAAGGTATGAATCTTCAAGATGGCAAAATCTGAGGGGACCGGCTCGAATGTGATGCTGGACAGCGTCAGGTATTCGTTCCGCATGCACGACAAAGCACTCACTCTGAATGCCATTCTCTCGTGGCGAATTGTGATACATCCAAATCGTCCTCAAGCTCTATTTGTCTATAACCAGTGTTAGTGAACACGTTCAACATTGTTTGAGCCAAGTAGACGCTCACTTGTGTTTCGCTGATGTGATAACATGAATCTCAGGACCAGACTCAACTTTCTCCTGAGTGGTTATCGTGGGGTGAATGTGCAATCCCGACTCCTTTGGCCGGCCTGACAGGACGCCAAGCTTGTTCCCGAGCTGTTACGGCCGTTCAAGCCCCGTTTCTGCAGCCAGCCAGCCAGCCAGCCAGCCAGATCACTGGAACATACCACTTTCTGCTGTTCGAGGTCAATGTCCTGGTTTTTGAAGAATACAACGTTCCTCTGCGACACTGTAACCGAGGTCAGTTAGCCGTGCATCAGCCAGACACGCTTCAGACACTCGCCAATGATCGCAAGCTCCCTGATCAGCTCATCTGCATTCTCCGCTTTGAGCAGGTCCGTCAACTGCACGTTCGAGTACTCGCGCCCGATGACAGGCGTGAGCTCGGCGAACTCGTACTTGTCGAAAGCTCCTGTCGGCTTCAGAGGCTCGGTCGATGCGCGCACCGAGAGTCTGGAGAACGTCTCCGTGAGAGTACTAGTAGCGATTGCAGTGTTCGACATTGTTGTGAGCGCTCGGAATGTGTAGTGTGTCGATCGAAGCGATCTTGTGAGAACAGGTGATGTTTATATCGCCTAAGGTCAACAGTATCACCACCCCGTCTAAATGCCGCGGACATCGCGAATATTGAACGCTGTACGCATTGACCAGTCTCGGCCCCGTTATCTATGGCACAATAGCCAGCTCGAATGTCGTTACGCGAGACGTTGACTCCAGCGACCCAATTACACATTCGATGTTCGTGGCGTCTACATCGGGCCGGGATGGGGCCGCGATCGACTGCGCGGCTTGGACAACGAACTCCACGACGTGCCCTGCCAGAGTCGTGTGTCCCAGAATCACGCCTTCGTAACGTCAGATTGCATTACTCCCAAGCAATGGGCATGAGGTTAGATCGATAACGCACGAGCTCGGTGAGAACGCTATCGCGATGCGTTATCTGCCGATGATGTGTTGAGCTTCGTGCTTGTGAGTACAAAGTTCAAGCCTAGGAGGACATTTCCTTGTAGGCCAGACATACGCACCATCGTGTGCGGACGCGCCGTACCACGTCTACACGAAGACAGACATGAAAGGGTGGTTGTTTGGTCTCTGTGGCTATCGATTATATGCTCTCTAACCACTTTTCCCAGTGCGCCTTTTACTACCCACGTTACGTGGGTTATTCTCTAACGACATCTTTGTACTATTTGTGTTTCGTTATATTTTCTTCGTTATATACGTTTAATCGTGATTGGGAAACTCCGTCCGCGTGAATACGAGCAGCGAGCAATGCATGTGTCATGTTCCGAATGTGTTGTTTACTCGCCGTCTTGAGGCAGACCACCATGCTTGAAGCTTACCAAAGTGTGCCATGTATCGTCGCAACATGTGCGTCTCACAGCATGCATTGTTTGATTTAGTCATCAACATAAGCAAGGACTAAGGGCGCTCTCGCACGCGAAGCTCGTCAATCTTAATTTGGACGTGCTTGAGATGATTTTAGACAACCTGCATGAAATCGTTACATCGTTGCAAAGCATCAGGCACTTACATTATGGATGGTTCTGTGTTTATTCGAGGAGACAGAATTTTGCCAAGCACGTAATTAGAGCGCCGATACAGCGCTGCGCTTGACCTGACTCCATTATTCGCTGTATCTGATCTCCGTTTGCTTGAAAACTCTGCAGGTTGCATACATGGAGCAAGTGAAGTCAATTTCAGAAGGCGCGAGTCGCTACGAAACCCGTCCTCTGGTCAAACAGTGCCAAGCACATTAGATCGCCATCCTAGATTAGATAGCTTCGTTAAAGCGAGATGGTTCACAAATCGCAACACGTCGCTCATAACTAGCTCGCCATAATCTCTTCGCTGTCTTATGTCAAGCCTTGTATCGACCGCTTGCCACGCGTCTTCTGAGTCCTAGTGGCTCCGTGTGGTCGGCGTATCTATAAACTGGCCCCTCAAGAACACGACTGCGTCCCTGGTCGCTGGCAAAATGCAATTATTGGGCTACGTTTCTCTTGGATTCGGTACCATCCTTCGTTGTCCTGCAGTTCGAGAATAGCCTTTTGTTGTGGATGATTGCATACATCAGGAAAGAGTGCTCCAGATGCCTTGTCGTATCGGAGGCAACAGTCTCTTTCTTTTCCTTATTCGCTGCCTACTGCTCACTATCCATGAACTTGAAGATAAGCGACATCGCAGCACATTCCTCAGTATCATTAATAACTGTAAGGCACCTTGAATAGATATGGCCATACTGTGGCCGTAAATCGCTGTCTAAGTTCGACGGGGACCCGGCGTCCCTGATCTCAACTCAGACTGGCATGTATTCTCTTCTTTCTTTCTGAGTTTATCCACCTAGCGTTATCAATGACGACCCATGACCATTGTGTGCGACGACATCGGTATGGGCTCTAATGCCATAGATAACGACGCTCCTGCCTGCTTGACGCACTCGTCATGCGATATTTCGTGATGTCTAGACTACTGAGAAGGCATCGAGCTGTCTATTTAAGAGTGCTATCTTTCGTCTCTGTCGTTGTTCATACACGCACTTCGCAGACCGAGCGTACACTACAACAATGTCCAGCACTGCCACTACCACTCTCACTGAGACCTTCTCGAAGCTCTCGGTACGCGCCTCTACCGAGCCATTGAAGCCAACAGGCGCACTCGACAAATATGACTTCGTCGACATCACGCCTGTCATCGGGCGCGAATACCCGAATGTGCAGTTGACCGATCTGCTAAATGCAGAGGATGCAGACGAGCTGATCAGAGAGCTGGCGATAATCGGTGAGTACATACGAAGCTGAAGTAGCTATTGAGCGTTTCTGACAGGCGGAGTACAGTGTCGCAGCGCAATGTGGTGTTCTTTAGAAACCAGAACATTGAGATTGAGCAGCAGAAAAAGGCACATCCAGCTCTGTCCCTTCACTGTGCGTGGGCTGACTATCGTGTCGTACACAGCTAGGAAACAGGCTTGGCATCCTATCGGGTCGTCCGAAGGAGTCGGGGTTGCATATTCATCCAACCGTGACAACGCAAGCGAAGATAGAGTCTGGTCCCGAGATTCATGTTATCTCCTCAACGAAGTTCAAGTCAGTGTACCTTCAACTCAAGTGGAATAGAGAGCCTCACCAAAAAAGTTGATAATACAGGCAACTAGAGCAGCAGGATAATTTCGATCTGTCACAGCTCGCATCTAGGGGTTGGCACTCAGAGTGAGTGCTTACTCTGTAGCGGTACAGAGCAGCGTGTCTGATCATTGGCGCATCATGCTCAGCATCACCTTCGAGCCCGTACCTTCGGATTTTGCTATCCTGAAGATCCATACGCTGCCGGAGACTGGTGGTGACACTGTCTGGGCAAGTGGATACGAGGCGTACGACCGCCTGAGCCCTGCGCTGGCAAAGCATCTCGAAGGCCTGACGGCAATTCATGAGGCATCGAAGTTCAAGCGTTATGTCGAGTCGTAAGTACCCGCCAGTGCGATGATTGGGACCTCTCATGCGGACTGCATTATAGACATGGGAAGACGCTTTATGATGGCGAGCGGGGAAACCCAGAGAATGTGGGAGCAGACTTGCGAGCTGTCCACCCCGTCATCCGCACCAACCCTGTAACTGGCTGGAAGGCGCTGTTCGTAAACAAGAAGTGAGTGGCTCGCCGGCGTCGATCCGAACTCTGCAGCTGATTGAATAAAACAGCTTCACTCGCCGGATACTCGAGCTTACCAAGGACGAATCTGATGCTACCCTCGACTATCTGTTTAAGCTGGTGAACGACAACCATGATCTGCAAGTCCGCTTCAAGTGGAACAAGTCAGTCTCAAGCTCTGGCATCCGAATTGCCGTTTACTCACATACATCACTCTTCTCACAGAAACGACGTTGCTATCTGGGCCAATCCTGCTACGTTCCACAACGGTATGTGGTAGGGTAGAATCGTAACGTAGACTTGGGCGCTGATGTGACAACCGCAGTGACTCGTGACTACGACGACCTGCGGGAGGGCGATCGGGTGGTTTCACTCGGCGAGAGGCCATACTATGATCCGAACTCCAAGTCACGACGGGATGCACTCGGACAAAAGAAGCGCATCTTTGGGTTTCAAGTTACCCAGTGAAATATTAAATCTTTCATAGATAAACTGCTGTAGCGTATACATAGCGAGTGTTGCTCTCGAACGCATGTGTCTGATCCAATTGTTGTTCGCGCACAGAATTGAGGCCGCCAGAGGGCTGTATGTATATCGTAAGAATAATCGCTGCCGCTAGGCATCGACTATCACAATCGTCGATCAGCCGGTTCAAGATGAAAGATATTTAAGCTTGATGAGAGATGTACTTTTTTGACGTTTATTATCGCTCACCATGAGCGGCAATATGTGCGCCTATTCCGCCTTTGCGGCAGGAAGGTTCCTCCGTGGCGGATACAGTTCGCGCAGATCGTGATGTCGACCCGAGTATGCTTGTGAGAGCCGCCTATACATCAAGCGATCCTGTACACACCCATATAGCAAGCACCAAGTGCGCGCAGTATCATGCAGGTCGATGGGGAAGCTTGGACCCACCATATGCATAATTGGCACAGCTACGATATGGTGGTGTGAAGCGTTCTCTCCTATTTCGAATACGGAGTTCCTTACCCACCTATCCATAGTTGTCATGCATGATTGGACGTTATTCAAAGCATAAGTTGACCTTTCTTTACGAACTATGCGACGGTGCTCGTCAAAAAGCGTGCGGAGCTTGAAAACCAACAAAGCGCTGGGTCCACCTATAATCATCCGCGACTCAAAGCGCTTTGCCCTCCATTATCTCTCGCTCCCCCATCCACACCCACAACTACCATCATGCCCTTTCATATCCTACGAGAACTCGAAGCTCACCTCAAGGACGCTTCTTTCGGCGCGAAAGACACTGCCGTCTTCGTGAACACCAATGAGGCTGTCGCCACTTCCAATAATCGCGACCTGCCCTTCGCAGCCACAATTGCAAAATTTGGCTACTCCGTCGCCATCAAAGCGAGGACCCAAGCAGTGGAACTCGTTCTGTCGCATCTGTAAGCAATTGTACCGCGCCTTGTAATATTGATTGTAGGGCTTATGGGGCCCTTCAGCTTTGTGGCCCGTGAGCTTGACGCCGACGACATCTCCACTCCCATCGTGGAGTCCTTCAATACCCTACACGAAGCATTTGCATATGGGGCTGCTTTAGTGGTGTGTGATGCTCACCTCCTGCGCTTGCCACAAGTGCTGACCTGTGGCCTAGCGCGAGGACAAGGTGCTTGTCGTCTGGTCGGACAAGAAGGAGGACATCATCAACGAATTCCGCCACAGAGAGCATAGGCTACAGCACCTCACTGGACTATGCACCTGTGGCGCCATACCACGACGTCCCTTACTCGATGTAGCAAATTGCGGCGAACCAGTTGCTTGGTCGTCAGGTGCGTCAGTTCATCGTTCGTAGGATCTTGACCTTCTAACGTCTGTATGTGAAGCACACCCTGCATCCGGCGTATACGACGGATTGTTCGACAAAGCTCTGCAGGAACGTTTGTCAGACAAGACGCCGAGCGTATGTACAATCTCTCACATATGGGGTCCTGTAGCTCGCGTTGAATCCTGATCCAGTCTTCCAAGCTGGCAGTCCGCGAGTCGACGACATACCGTGCGTTATCGTGGAACGCGCCACCAAACGCCCACAGGTGAGTGTTTCAGCGTCGCCTCACCCTTGTTCTTCTTCCTAACAGGCGCATCTGACAGACGTATAATGGGTGAGGACGATCCAGAGATCGTACCAAGCCGTACCTCACGCAAGAATGCCGCCCGGAGCACACATCCGTCCAAACGGAAAAGGGGACAGGTGGAGGTCCTCGAAGCCACTTCTGCCGTTTCTTCAAGCCCACGTGCGATGGGCAAAAATCAGATCACCGCCATACATAGCGAGGCCGCTCCTGACGAGGACACGAATTCTGGCAGTGGAAATCAGAAAATAAAGATGCATGCGTGTCCTGTGCATGATGCAGGCCCGTCGCATGCTCGCTCCGATCTGGCACCACGCGTGCAGACCGAGAGGTTGTCATCCCCGAAACCAGGCACTCTGGAGAAGGAAAAAGAGCGTGAGGTATCTCTTGCTGGAGTACCCCCACAGCCCACGGAAGGGAGGAAACCCTCGCCTCCGAGACTCACGGCAACTGATAAAGGAAAGGGGCGTGCCGTCGACTCTCCTGACGGTGGCGGTGGCGCTGAACCCGGGCCATCAACAAATATGCGGGAGCGCACACAGTCCACCAGGAAGTCGAAGCGAAAGGTGAACGACCACGATGACGATCCCTACGCAGACGCCGCGGACCAAAGGCGATTGAAGAGGCAAAAACAGGCGTCAATGACGTCTGCATCGGGGAGCACGGTGCGCTGCATATGCACACATCCCGGCTGCCAAAAGACATATGGGCGCGAGAAGGACATGGTGCGTCATCGCAAGACCCATGGTGCGCCAACCAACTTCTGCGAGTGGTGCGGCAAAGGCTTTGGTCGGCTCGACGTGCTGCGACGGCATTGCAGAGAGAGACACGAGGATCATCAGGGAGAGCAGGACGAAGCCGTGGTGGAGGGTGATGACGAGAACAAAGATGATGGGGGCGAAGAGTGCAGCTGGATGAAGAGTGAGGAGATTTAAGCCGAGGATGAAGACTCGCCCAAAGGCCGGCACATTGGTGTCTGGGATGACGGCGATTGAGTAGGAGACTCACGACCTGATGTACCACGGTGACATCACCTTTACAACACCCTACCCTCGCGGTCTCTTTGGTTTGTTTTGCGCCCTCATACGCCTCTCGCCTCTGCGCTGCTTGCTTTTCGAGATGAAGGGCTGGTTAGGAGGAAAGACCCAGGTATGTGAAGCAATGTACAACGAGATAATGCTGGAGACTGACGGAGGAAATCGCAGATTCAGAAGGACATGGCGAAATGCTGGAAGCCTCAGGCAGATGAACAACAAAACGATCATTGTTAGGGGTGAAAGTCCCCATCGTGCAATTACACCAAACCGCATGCGTGGAGATAGGTGCTTTCAAAGTTTGGCATACGGGAGCTTGGATACATCGCGCACCACGGCCAAGCGCACTCTGTGCAATGTTGAGCACCGTCGTCAAGGCGTATGACACCACATCCAGTAGCCCTTGTTGCCCAACGTAGCTAAGGATTAGAAAATCTTGTGATTTTCAGCAAACCTTCCGGCCAAAGACGGTGGTCCTTGTCATACAACCGAGGTAGCATACATGGATGAGCCTTATTTCCCCTAGGCAGCCTACAATAGAGCGCCCTTTTTGATGGTCAGAGGATGGGCACTCTAGGATGAGCCTGATGCGACCTCCTTCAGTGTAATTCTACCATGTGGACTTCGAAATCTAGTGAATGGTATCGTGTTCTTCGTATTCTTGCTTGGTAAGAACTACGGCTTGGTGTATTTAAAGATCAACAGAGACTTTGATAAACAAGCTGAGCAGTATGTCGCTTGGAACAGTGAGCGCGGAGGTGGTACGCGGCGACCGACGGCGTAGGCCGGGCCGTGGGCGTGTATTTCCCTTTTCGTCCGGTCTTCCACATCCACTGATTAGCGCTTCAATCAGGCCGCATACGTATACCGCACCGCCGTATCTTTCCAGTCGGACTTGAGTCTGGGCCCCCTGCGTGGCGATCTACACGATGTCGTCCGTGTTAGCCTTAAATCATGAGGTTTTTCGAGTCGTTCGATTGGACTACGATTACGTGCATTCGCCCCCGCTTCATGTTCGTTTTCCTGGTCTCCATCATATATATGCCCAGACGCATGAAAACCTCACAGCTCAGGGCGCATCGACGCAAGAGAAAATACCGTGTGCTGACTGTTGAGAAGCGGTACGATGTGCTGCCATCGTCAATTGTTAGATGAACACATAGTGCAATATTCACAATGGCGCAGAGCGGAAAGTAAAATGTCGCGCGTCCAATTCACGGGAGTATTGAGTAGCGAACGCAAGTGTATTCTGAGCGTAGTAACTGCATATACAAATGATCTACACACCTGGAGAGCCACGGTGAGTAGCGAACGTGAACCGTACACAGGAAGAATTGAACGTATGCATCAGCACAGCAGGAACGGCCGTCACCCCTAGTTGTATTGTACAGCGAACGGACAGAGAACCAAGGTAAGTAAATACTGCATTCTACTAATCTCACCAGCGACCATCCAAAGAATGCGTCTGGACAGACCTAGTGAAGAGCATCTGATATCTCCCAACTCCTTCCGCCTGTATGACCCTCGTCGTAGCCGCTTGGGGATCGGACAGATTCGATACCCGGCCTTGAAAATTGCATCGACATGGGTGGGCCATTTGCGACCGTGCTATACGGCGCCTCCATACTGCACCAGGAGCATGGATACTGTGAACGCGGATCGGTAGCGTGCGAACCTACGGACGGCGAGGAGCGTACGACAGGAAGCCAGGATGCATCAGGAAGACCGCCTGCGGGAGCTAGCCACGTTTCCAAACCGGTATAAGGTGTGCGAGTCTTACGAATACGCAACGATGTCGATGTCGACTTCGCCTGACATGGGATCACAGCGCAAAAAAGAGCGCGTGGCCGCTACGCCGGCATCCTCATGCAGGGACTCTGAACGCTTATGGTGAGCCCGTCTTCGAACACTCTCGAGATCGATGTGATGAGTTGGAGAAGCCATCACCGCTGAGTCTCAAGGTTGGAACCGTGGGCGCTCCCCGACAGGTAATAACGCGGCGCGCAGCGCTTCATTTGCCCTTGTCTATGTCACAATCAGCATCATAGAAGTGAACTCAACGTGGAGTGAACATACACGTCATCCACAACGCAGTCTCCTCCCTCAGCCAAATCATGCCCAGTTGCAAGTGGAAGTATCGGCAGTGATGTAAGTGGGCGATGATCCTGCTTTCAGTGCGATGCTTGTGCATCCAATAGTTCGAAATTGTTGTCGTAAGCAGGGCTCAAATCCTAAAGAGATGAGTGCTCAATCTACATCTCATGTGAGGCCTGAAGCGAAATTCCTGAGACAGTGATCCTCAAGTGTCAGCCAGAAGAGTATGAACGAGTCTTCGGGCAATGGTCGGTGCTGAGCAGCAACAAACATGAAGCAGGCGACACCTGAGCAAGCCGCGTCGACAATGTGGGCGCCCATGGTTGTTTGTGTATGTTTCACGTGATTTCCTTACGAGGAAACCTTGCAGCTCCCACCGACGTCTTCCTATCTTCTCCTGCTTCGTCTCAAGCGGCTTACTCACAATCCTCGGCCTCGAGTCTATGTCTTTGCTTTGCGATAACCACGGAGATTTATGACAAAATGGACGTCCCGTCGCTCTGCGCAACAGCTGCATGATACGGGCATCGTTTGTCTTGTCGGCGCATCACGCTGGATTCGCCCGATTCCTCTACCCTATACGACGGTCTACGCGCGATTGTCTCGTTCGCGCAAGTACAACCATCTGGCACACTATGGTGCCTATGGTGAGCCACTTGATGCTCAATCAGTACGCTCTTTCATCCTTGCGACCCGTGCAGGCTACATTGCGCCTCGAGGATGTGTACTCTATCGCACTGTACATCTGGATCTGCTTACTGTGCACAGGGTGACTGGGAGCAGCCGCGCTGTGGTACAGAGACATGGCTTGCGGCGCACGTGAGATTGTACGTTTTCAGCTTATTTGGGCTTCGCACCGTCCTTTACGATTCCCAGTCTACCCCATCGGATATGGAATGCATATTCGATCATCCAACGCCGTTCATCGAAATGCCGCGCACGTACATCTTACAGTCTTGTTACTGTATTGACCGATTGACCGCCGCGTCTCGGGACCATCCCATTGGATGTGCGTGCGCCGCGACACACGAATGGCGCAGGGTTAGCCAGGGGGGAGTCAGCTACTCACCGTTGCGTTCTGCGAACATGTCTTCGAGACACTGATATACTTGCAGCGTAAAGACAGCGTGGCCGTGTCGCCGGGATACGCTCTCAGCGGACGCCCACATCTCTGCGAGGATCTGATCCCTCGGCTATCACCCTTCGTGTGCATGGCATTGTGTTCATTGAGAGTCGAGAGAATGGTTGTTAATACGATTTGAATACAAAGGGGTGTGTAAGGCAGTTGGAACCAATAATATGTCGGTTTTGCACGAATATGACTAGACTGTACAGCACCAGAACGCAGACGAGCGCAGGTACAAAGGGCAGCTGAAGCAAACAAACAGGTCGATCCGCCAAGACCGGAGACCTGTGCAGGTCGATTCGAAACAATTCAAGGTAAGTATATCCCGTCCGTGCTGCAAGACCCGTTACTCACACACCTTTATATACGGTCGTCTTCACCGCTTTCTATCACCACTCTTCCACTTCCCCTTCTTCTCCTACTCGCTCTGGTGCTTCCCCTTCTTGGCCTTCTCTTTCTTGGTCTTCTCCCTCTCGGCCTTCTCCGTCCTGGCCTTCTCCTTTTCGCAGGCGCCCGGATTTTCGATGTGCCGGCGCCAGGCGTACTCCCTGGCGAAGCCTTTCCTGCATCCGGTGCAAATTGACTCGTACTCGCCGGTGTACAGTGGACATGACCTGGTCTCCCTGTGATGCCGCCTGAGGTCTCCGTCGCGTCCGAATGTAGCTTTGCAGGCCGGATGTGGGCAAAAAAGCTGGGACTTCTTCGCAGTGGCAGCCTTGACCTGCTTCGCCCTCGGCTTCTTCGCCGAGGCAACCTTGACCTGCTTCTTCCTCGGCTTCTTCGCAGTGGCAGCCTTGACCTGCACCACCACCGGCTTCTTCGCAACGACTGCCTTGACCCGCTTCGCCCTTGGCAATTCGCCCTCGGCGCCGTCCACTGCATCATCGCCGGCGGGAGCCTTCCGCTTGCAGCCGCGGGGAGGCTGCACGTGTTGACGAATCGCACAAGCATGGGTGGATGTTGAACTACCGGGAGTGTCGGCAGGCAAGGGTCCCAACTGCTCGACCGACCTACTTGTCGACGGCTGTGCCGGCTCGCGGGGCGCAGGCCGACCAACAGTCCCTCTGGAGCTCCCTGCGTCAATCACTGTCCTCCCTTTCCTCGTGTTCGCACCGCGTTCCTTGCGCTCCACGACAGCGTTTGCGGACTTGCAGTTGCGAGTTGGTTGGGCCCGCCGGTTGTTGTGGGAGCGGTCGGTCCACCTGACGCGCGGATCGATGGCGGCGGGAAGGGGGCCGTCGGCAGTGGCGTCCACCTCTCGATGAGCGATTGAGTGTCCTGTCTCCTGCTCGTGCTGACGTGAGGTCTCTTGGTGGAACTCTGCGATAGCTCCGTCCACGCCTGTATAGTCACTTGCACGCACCAGATTTTGCTCAGCGCTCTGTACCCTCTGTCTCACAGACTGCTGCTCCTGTGGAAAATGAAGTTCCTGATGCTCGTCCTCCATTTCTGCTGGGTGACTGGAGCTTGACGTTGAGCCAAGCTCCGTATATTGAGGATGTAGCCTGCCGACGTTACCGGTCATAGTGGCCAGCTCGTCAACAGCGTTGTTGTCCTCGTATTGAGTGTTTCCCTCGTTCTGCCATGCCATGAGTATGTCAGACGGGGCAGCACTGGATACGAAATGTTACTTACGCTCGAGGTCGATGGGGTGGCCGTGTCCCAAAAGTCGGTGGGCCGCGCGTGGCGCAGCATGTCTCGGAATGGCGGGAGGTCGACGATCGGCTCTCTTGCGGAGTCGGCTGGTGTGATCGGGTTTCTACCCGCGCGTGAGTCGTCCAACAGACGGAGATGTCCGTCTGTTACCTGTGTCAGGAGGGCAAGCTACTCATAAATATATCTTTTGCTCTACTGCAGGGACAGGTGTTATGCGTACCTCCGCCGTCCAACGTGACGGCTCATCCATAACCTCATCCAGCCTGTCATGGGCAGCAGGCATCAACTCTCTCTGGTAGTCGGCGAGTTCATCCATGACTGGAGTTGTACGAGAAGGGGAAGAGCGTTGGCCTTTCCAGGGCGGTGGTCGAGGGCACAGCGGTAGTTGCTGACCTTGAATCGGCAATGTCCTGTCGGCATCGCGCGGTTCGCGGATGAGAAGCGTAATCCTGCACAGATAAGGACAATGCTCTTGGTAGGCATCTGACCGTGATATGCTTCCGAAAATGTTGAATGCCCGTATTCGCAGCACACGCCATGGTCCGTCCCTCTCGCCGACGAGTAACCATTGTTTATTTGAACCACTACATAATTCACCGTAGCAGACTACAGGTCTTGTCTGACGAATGGTGTTCTGTAAATCCACGACGGCACCCCCAGCGAATCGCTCTCAAGAGATCCAGGGCACTATGGCCTGGCGGATACACCCGGAGCCAGCGTCAGGAAGTCGGTAAGCCGCGTGGACTATGCACGTCCATTGTTCGTGCATCATCGGAGTTGGAACTGACGGCCCACGCTTCCACGGCAGGATTCCTTGTTCTCGAGCCGCAAACCTCTCAGCAGCGTATGATTACAAGTCCAAGGTTCGTAAATAGTATCTGAACAGTTCTACTGGCGCTGCTTGACAGAGCGACGAGCGAGAAGCGGCGGCGGACTCGCATAATCATGGTTGATGACGATCCTGATATCCCAATATATCGATTTCATTGTTCCCAAAAGGGCCGGCCGTGGGACCAGTGTCTTCACTCGCAGATTCGTACGTAGCACCATCGGCTTGTAATATCTACCTGCGCTCTCCACATACAGCCGTTTTTCCACCCTGAGGCTCTAGATGCTGGCATCGGACACGCTTGCCTGAACAATCGACTATCGGCTGATATTCACAGTCTACCTGAGGGTCTCTGGTACTTATATCCACGTGTATCTCAGGATGAGGGATGTAAGATCGAAAAGATGTTTCATGCCAATGGTTCAATTTCGTCCAACCATTATATTATTAGCCTATATTCTTCGCAAAGTGTCACATCGGACATGATTCTTACAGTGTGAACAAATGGCTCAAATCATCGCTTATACAGACTTACATGTAGAGCATGTAGTGAACATCCACTACGTGCTTCACATCTAAGTCTCATTCTACGATAAAAAGGAAAGTATCGCAAAACATCAGGCTGGATGTGACAGTACTCGTGGCTCGCGATCCAGGTCGTCAGACATCGATACAGCATTAGGATGTCGACGTACTGGTCGTGGGATTTCCATAAGGCGTACAGTGCCCATGTATTCCGGCTCTGCGTGTTGCCCCGGGTCGATTTCTTCAAGATTTGATTGCGTGCCTAAGCTGGTCTCGCAAATTTGTGTTGAGACAATGTAGGCACCTTATTATGTCCATTTTTTCATTGTTACTTCGGCATCTGCGACGCGTGATGCACTACATTAAGTTTTAGGGAATCAACTAGTGGGACTCTGCGAAACAACCGTGCAAAAGCTGGAGACCTGCTGACACATCAGATCAACGATCGAGATAAGGTTTTTAGCATTAGCCCATGCAGCATGTCTATTCCCGATCTATGGATACTTACTTTTTATTCACTCATGTATCATTTGGCCAAACTAATCTCATGCATCGGCTATGTAGTCTGAAAGTACTTAGATGACCTCACCGGTTAGGAAGGAGGCGCTCCGGGGCTCGCCGAGTACCACGTGTTTCGGCAATGTTGTTTCAATATCGGGCAAAGCATTCTTCCCAGTTGACTTCCGAGGTCGCGCAACCTTATCGTCTTCAGTCTCGATCCCTGCCAGATTTCTGACATATACACCATAGACATTGCTCTCAGGAGCCCCGATCCTGGGAGCTATGCCAGATTGTGAACGTTGGCATCGCTGTGTCGTAGTGCCAGCCATATAATGCTGTGCCGTCAGGATCTCCTTCTACTCACGAAGTGTCGAAATGGACGCACGAGAGCCGTGCCAGGCAACCATTAGGACTCGGAGCCTGCCGAAGATGACTCCTACGGCGCTGGTGAATCACTCAGTGTGTCCTGCACTCTGACATCAGTGTGAGCAACAAGCAGTCGCCGCGATGCAGAACGCGAATGTCTCCGAATCGACACAGGTTAGTGTAGCACGCTACTAGCCGCCCTTTTCAACTGAATATCGCTCAGATTGTCCCACAGAACAGGACGACGTTCCTGGATCTCAACGACGATGTCCTTACGACGATCGTTTCCGATTTCACCACCAAGGACTCCCTGCAGCTCTCTCTCGTTGCGCGACGGGTCCATCTACTCGCGAAACGTCAAGCATTGTCTTCTGTGACGATGAAATCCATGCAAGCCATCTTGCGCATCTGCACCTACATGCTTGACGATGTGGCCGGCCGCTTGCAGTGGATCCGGCGCTTGTCGGTGTCTGTCGGGCTGCCGTACCAAGGAAGCGGCATTTTCACCCAACACAATTGTCCACAGAAGCTGGAGGAAGCATTAAGAGCCTTGGGGCTGCTCACGTCACTCTTCAAGCATGCAAGTGGGCTCCGGCATCTCCACATCTCTCCCCTTGAGGACCTTCTAGTGTTTCATCCACCACTCCTTGACGCTATTTATGCACATGCTAACCTAGCTGAGCTGGAGCTGCTGCAATGTGGAGGATGCAAGACTATTAAGCTATTAGATGAGCTGCAGAGCCAGCCGCGCAGCCTCGTGCTGGAGGTACGGACACAGGACGCGGATAAGGACGCAATCATCTCCCGAATTGGGAGGTTCCATGAACTCCGTGCGCTGAGTCTCTATGGTCTATACACACCACGGCGTTCGGTTCGCATGGATACGGAGCACTTCATGCGCAGCTTGCACCATTCATGGCCTAAAGTTACCGATCTCACTCTGGCACATTGCGAAATCCAACTTCCTGCGATCCTCCATGCCTTCCCCAATTTGCGCGCCCTATCATTCACTGAACGGGGTAGTCTGCACGATGCGGCTCTCAACAGGCTAGGATATTCTGTCCCATTACAGGGGACCGCCGGTCTCGAATACGTCAAGGGGAGCGCACACCTATTCGAGAATTGGCCCACTGCGCGTCCCGTGTATCACATTCTCATTCAATCCATACTCGCAACCCCAAGTCGGTCGGCAATGGTTGGACCCACACGCTGCGGAGACTCTGAAATACCAGTCCTACTGCGTATGGTACACAATGCTGAACCGATCATACTCACCTTCCGCATCATGGCCTTCGTGTCTTTACGCGAGTCGTTCTGGAAGAGCCTGGCAGCTGAGGCGACGAGACTGCGGTGTCTCGAGGTCGAGCTGTGCCTATTCAGGCAGACGGAGAACCTCACGGCTGCGTTCCTGCAGTGGATGGTCAGTATTCCGTGATGCTATATATACGCCGCTGAATATGAGTGTTCTACAGACCAATATTCCGTCGAGTCTTTCCGGTGTCACGTCTCTGACCTACCTCGACATTGGTATAAATGTCGGCATATCGCGGTTCATCAGCTGCGTAATTACAATGAGACCGAAGCCTGTTGATCTGGAGACAAGCCAGGAGTATGCGGAACAGCTTGCGTCACTGATCATTGCGCAAATTTCCTCTCTTCGTTACATTTCTCTTGGGTTTAGTTCCCCAGGGCCACGTTCCTCTTGGATGTGGAAGGTGGACGACGATGAGGGAGAGCGTACGCTGCGTGCTGTTCCTCCAAACATTGCACAACGGCTCAAGGTGGTGTTGAAATCGCCCAATTATGATCTTCAACGAGAGAGTGAAGGTGAGCCATCTTTACCCTTGCGAGCGCATCGCTCTTCTGATACATCGACGTTCCATACAGTGGTGGGATGAGGCTAGTGCCGCTTGCTGCGTCGATAGCCCAGGGAATATCGCATGTAGCATGAATATACGATCTATCGTGGGATCTTATTGATGTGTTTGAAGTGGTTAGATACACCATTGTAATAGAGGAGCGAGCATCGGCGATAAAGATCGAGCACGACCGACAGGCGAGAAGCAGCAGTGACTGAGAACGAGTGTGGAAGACTGGGTTGGCAATCGTCGGCGAGCTGCAGCGGAACTGGCGCATGAACACACTTCGCTGATCGTACAGTGTTCCTAACATGGAATAACCTGCGGAACACACGTTTCCCTTGCAGTGTAACTGTTCTGCCTCGTGTCAAGTATTCAATTGTCCGCAATGCAGCCAGGCACAGCCACATAAATCTGGTGGCACGTCCGCACGCCATCGACGGCCTCGTGTTCATTGTTCCCCCCTCGTGGTAATCGTTCATCTTACTTTTAGTGGCGTTACATATACCGTGTAACATGAGGCGAGGCGAGCCACAATATTTTGCTGGGTATAAGTAGAGACCTAGCTCGATGGGTTGGATACCATTGACACTTGACACATCACTCCGAACATTCTGACACGGTGAGTACTCAAGCACTTTCACTTCCCTGTAACACTAAACCATTCCGTAGATGGCGACCCACTCGGAACCTGGGCAAGCGAGTGCATGTTATAGAGCTTTGAACATCGACGAGTTGTACACCCGCATCGTCTCACATGTCGACAGCCATAATCCTCGCTCGCTCGCCAATCTCGCTCTGACTTGCCGCAGTTATAGCGAGATACCGTTGAGGACACTGTGGTATGAGCTTCGTGACCTAGCTCCGCTCCTAAAACTTCTCCCCTGTCACAAGTGGCGAGAAGTCAGCGATGTTCATGGAACCAAACGTCTTGTGAGTAATTTAATTTGCTTTATTCCGCTACGGCGTTCTGACTAATATTTATTCCGGTGCAGGATATCACCGCCTCGGGACTGGAGGATGATTGCTTCACGCGTATGGACTACTACAGTCATTTTGTGAAGAAGCTGAGCTTGCCGTTTAAGCGTGAAGCTGGACTTTCTCCGTCAGTCATGGAAGTTCTTGCACTCATCAAGCACCGCTGTCTGCTACCTCAAGGCCGGAGCTTCCAGTGGCAACCGAGAAGTAGCGTGTTCGTCGAGTGCACTGCGCCTCTTCTTGGACCATCCCTCGAAACCTTGATGATCAACTCCGCCACGGTTGGGTTGGATCTCAGCGCAGTTCTCCAGACGCTTCCGGAGCGCGCTCCTCGACTAACAAAACTCTATATCAGGGAGATTGGCCGGCACGAAACGACGGCTACCTCGGTCGAAGAATTGCTTCTTGCGCAAACAGCATCCTTGACGACCTTCTCCTTCACTGGCACTCTCACCTCCAACAGCATCCTTGCGCTGGCTAAAATGCCTAATCTCGTGGCCGCCGTTGTTGGTACGAGCGCAGACCAACTGTCCAAAGTCTCCTTTCCGGTGGGATCCTTCCCTGCTCTGGAGACCTTGGACATCAAGCTCGACAAGCTCGATCGATCGATATCTCCGCTGCTGAACGCAATCGACTCGACGTCATTCACGCATTTTCGACTGACCGTCGCGGACCCGCACTCATCTGGGCTCCTGACCAGCCATATGCGGGCTCTGTCGCGCTTTCATCTTGTTTTCCTTCAAGTGCTCTTGGGACGCATAGATGCCACTGGGTCTAGCTATCTGGGAAGCTCAGAGGACGTGGTCTCGTTGGGGACACTGAGGCCACTCTTGGACATTCAGTCACTGCAGTATCTCGGCGTTCGAGCGCCGCGTCTGGAGGTGGACGAACACATGCTCGACGCGATCTCACGATCACTACCTCACATCAAGGCGCTGTCTCTCGAGAATATGTCCGGCGAATTGTCTCCTGGTCTCGGTGTACTCCTGCCGCTTGCGCAGCAATGTCGCGAACTCTGCCACGTGAGGATGGACTTCAATGTCAGCATTGTTCCGCCCATCCCCACTGGCATATGTTCCAATAACACCATGTGTACGCTGTCCGTTGGTGCGTCGACAACCACCAATAGCTCAGGCGTAGCTCCCTACCTGCGCGCGCTGTTCCCGGGGCTACAAGGACTGATTTACAGCAAAGACGCAACCCGTAGTATGACTGAGTCAAAGTGGAAGAAGGTCATCGATGAGCTATCCGAAACAACGACGTACGCGACCATATGTCCGTGGGATACGACCATACCCATGTTGATACACGCGACCCCTTTCCTGTACTTTGCAGATTAGAAAAATCTCATGTTAGTGTACCGTTTCGTCCATTTTGCGTACGATTCTAACCTTTCATTCGAACACACCCCATGTATTTATTGTATCTATGCCTTTTGATGCGTGAGTGAGCGTTGTGTATTTTAGCCCTGAGAATGACTCACCAAACACATCAAAGTCACTTGTAACTAGCTGTCGCATATGTAGCGATCCATATATCCATTGTATGAACTCTCTCTTCTTTCACCGTCAATGCGTCGCGTGCAGCCCTGACAGCATCCCGCATAGCGAATACCACCGCGCGCTCTCTCTCATCCTGAATGCTCTCCTGGACCTCTGTCTCGAAATCGTCTGCGAGAACCGCGCCTACCTCCCACCGCCCGTCCAACATTCCCTCAGGCGGTACCACCGTTTCCTCCTTCAGTAATGTCAGTCCAGCAGTGGAAGCAGCAGCCTTCAGGGCCGCAGGGGAGAGGACGGTGCGAATGTTGCTCTCGGACGTGGGCTTTCTGCACTCCAACGATGCCTGCGTGAGCGCTGCAAGGACATGTGGCGCGGCTCGCGGGTCAGACGCCGTGAGCGCGTACTCGGACAGGCATATCCGTTTCACGCGTGGTGCAAGCGCGGCGAGGATCGCAGAAAGTGTTTGCGGAGAGGAGAAGTACCAGATGCATTGTGCGAGGACAGCCGTGGTGTATTTATCCGTGGTGCCGCGCAGGAACTCACGCGGGTCGGCCTGAACAAAGTCAATGCGTTTGCCGACAGGAGACGCGCGGAGATGAGCCTGTGCTTGACCAAGAGTGTACGGCGAGCCTGAAGCAACAAAGACAAACCTGTCCTCAGTGACAACAAGAATCACAGTATATGACACGAACCATAATCGAGGCTTGCGGGATCAATGGCTATGACATGACCAGCATCGCCGACAGCCGTAGCAAGCACGACAGTGCAATCGCCTTGCCCACATCCAATCTCAATGACGTTCTCGCCGTGCTCAATGCCCCATGTTGTCACAAGCTGGACACGCTGCTCCATCTGTCCCAAGACGACAGGGAAATGTTGCGGTCCCTTATGAGGGTAAATTGCTGCAATCGAAGCAGGGGAGTCCAGAGTGGGTGGCGGGTGTTCAGACATAACGAGGCGTTGAAGAGACGCGTTCCAGTAGCCAACAGGAGTGTCTATGCCAGTCGGAGATAATTTTTTTCTGGAGAGCCTCCATCACAACGCGCCTCTTGACTCGACCAGAGAACGTCGAATCACGTGTGGCGCGTCAACAGGCACTGACCTCGTGTAGAGCTGGATGATAACGCGGTACGACTTGAGGTAGATGCCAAGAGGCGGGCAAAAACGCAATGAGCCACATTCACCGTGCGCATTGAAAGGACCCCGAAAGTAGGGTAAGATAACCTCCTTCTTAGTTAGAACGCGTCATGTGATAAACGTTCTAACCATAACAGGCAGCTGGGCCATTTTTTCCTAAGTCCCCTTGCATAGTAGACGAAGAGCGACGCACTCGAGCAAGCATACGCAGTTGAGTAATCTTAATGTAAATAACATTCGTTGTTAAGGTCTACGTTCGAATACATGATGAGGTCGCGCTGGTAAGTATAGTAGCTCAAAATCGGCCTCGTTTTGTCGGCCGCATCGCATTGTCAACCCGCATCGTGTTTGCCCTCGAACGCTTGCGGCGCTGGGATGTAGATGTTGTTGCAGCTGTGTCGGAGTCATCTATGGAAGGTTTCTGAGGTATTTTTTCTGTAGGAATGCCAAGTCTATGTTCCTCATTGTCAGTAATGGCCATTGCTCTAATCATTTCACCAGGTAATGGAGCACCGGGCTCGATGCCATCTACCGAGTATCCTGGATGGCATGTTCGTATATGCTCAGGCATATTATACTTCCAGATAGCGGTTACTGTCTTGTCGGGCATCTCGGAAGCGCATCCGGGTATGTGGCACTTGATAGGAACATTTGTACACGGAGTGGTTAACGTCGATTCAATGGCACGCGCATAGAGAAATGTGTGAGCATGTGCACAATTTGATCGTGCTTGCGGATGCTTGCCCCTTGTCAGGAACAACTCCGCACATTTCGCTTTGCCGGAACGTCCACAGAAACCACACGGCAGTGTATGACCAACCTAGGCAAACAAAACTACATCAGCACTTGGTATCATTGCACAGTCGGACAGTAGCACGTACCGGTTCAAGGAGATCTTCATGTACATTCCGCTTATCTTTAAGGATGTGTCCTCCGACGTGACTGCGCAACTTCTTCGGATCGATATCAGTGCCACACTGATAGCAGTGGAATGATGTCAAGAGGCGATCACGTTCAGTTTGAAGAATACTCGTCCCTTCTTGTGAAAAGAATGTGGCTTGTCCTGAGGCTTGTATCCCATTAGATTAGAATATGATGTGATTGAAAGAGAAATTGAACTTACTTGTATGATGACGGTATGGAAAGTTGCCATTAGGCCGAAACTGATACAACGGTCTGTACTCCTGTATTGATGCCTGACTCGTAGACAATGAGCGAGGACTTATGGACAGTGCGTCGTCCTGAAGATCGAGCGAGGAAGTCGAGAATGACCACTACCCCAAGTGAGGAGGAGCAGAGACTTGAATGAATAACCAGGTCGAACTTAGGGTTCGACCGACTAATGGTACAACTACTTATACAAGTACCGACTGCGCGCGGACCATCGTGTCTATGTGGTCATGTTAGTGAAGAAAGAAATGTAGTGGTACGATACCAGGCACGAAGTGCGCACGGACCCCATTATGTAAGCTACATAATGTTCAACCTGCGGGTGAGCGCTAAGACAGGCGCCAGTATGGGCGCTAGTAGTACAAGGAATAGAACGGAAAGACAAATGTTTCATTACCCCCCTACCAGAGTCGAAGTCCCATTCGACTACTTACTGCTCACCGTCTCCATACAACTCCCAATCTACGCCGTCGTCCTCCTCTTCGTCGAACCACTCCTTGCGTGCGTTCCTCCCTACGTTCATCCATTCCTCGCCAGAGAGGTGCTTCTGATTCGGCCAGGAGCTGTCCCACGTCCATTGAGTGGTGTCCGGTGTCCAGTCGGGATCGACTTTGCGAAAGCGACGGGTGTAGTCGGGGCGGGGCGCGAAGGTCCCG